TCTGAACATGAATTTGGCCATATTATGCTAAGTTATAAGCCTAATTCTATTACTACCCCCTTTTCCTGGCTGAGGTGATACAATAGAGATTATGCTCCCAAGTCATTAGGGGAAATGTTTGTACATTGTTTTTGGTAAATCTTTGAAGTAAAAAAAAACCCAAACCCTTTATAAAAGGTAATTGATGTTATGAAGTTAAATGAAACTGCAGTGCTAATCAGTTAGTGGAGGAGGAACAAGACAGCCTGTAGAGGCCTGAGCTGAGGGCAAAGAAAAGTGACAATGTCAAACTCGCCAGGATATCTTAGTGCCTTGAGGGAGATATGTAGCTTCCCTACCCTGGGAGTGGGAGGTGGGAGAAAAGGCAAGAACCCATTATGTTACACAATTACCACAGGATTATTCTTTAGCCATAACCAACCATTGAAAGAGTGGAATGATAGATTTTAAAAAATAAAGAAGCCCAACCTTTAACTCATAATGGCATAGCCTGCAAACTTTAGCTTGTCAATTAAAAAAGGTCTGTTCAAAAAAAATCTCTTAAAGAGATTCAGTGACTGGCCCAGGATCACACTGTTAGTAAGCATTTGAGGTGAAATTTGAACTGGAGTCTTCCAGACCACAAGTCCAACACTCTATCTTCTGAACCATTTAGTTTTCTTGAAGAGTGGTGGGTTTGAGGGTAGGGTAAAGATAATTAATTTCCATTTTAGACATTTGAATTCGAGTCACTACTTGAGTGATTTTGAGTGTTATTTAATTTCTTTGGGGCTTAGTTCCTTCATCATTAAATGAACAAGATTCTTAGCTTTTTTTTTTTCCTTCTGTGTCATGGGTTCATTTGGCTGTCTGGTGTAGCCTGTGGATCTCAGAATAATGTTTTTTAAATAATTAAAGGAAATGTTAAATTTCAGTTAGAGGTTAGTGAAAATAAAGATGTAATTTCCCCTCCTTATTCCTATTCATGGACTCCTTAAATTCTATCCATGGATGCCGGTTAAACACTTCTGATAGAGGTAAACAGGAAGGACCCTTTTCACTTTTAATTCAATGTTCCTCTAAAACCTGTACAGTATCTATATTCTATCCCACGGCTCCATTCTTCTCTGTAATTCATTCCATACTGTTTATGAGCACAACCCCTCTGTCTAATATGAAAGAGCAGCCTTAAGCATACTAGCCCTATATGTTTTCTATTTCTCTGATTTTGTTCTTTTTCTGGATTCTGTCCTTTGCTAAATGAATAAACAGGTAATGATACTCCTATAGTTTAATGGATCTGTGTGTCCTCATCATTGTGATTATGCCCATTAGCAATCCAGATCTTAACCAATACATACCTGCTCATTTTGTGACATATCTGTATCTTCCGGGTATTCCACTTCTGGTGATCCTGGGGACCTTTCTATAGATCTCTTGATATTGTAGATGCTGATGGAAAATTATTGCTCTATCTCCTTGTGTGATAACATCAGTGAAAGAAGTGTAGAGCAAGATTTTCCTTGAAAAATTCAAAATTTTCAATGTGCATAATCTATAGGGTACCCTACTCTACTATTACTTTAATTGAAAGTGTAATGCTTAGGATTAAAGAAGGGTGTGTAATGAGTAGAGGGGGGAGAACTTTGCTTAAAGTTTGTATCAATGCCTGCATATAGCCTGCAATGTGTGGACTTAACTGTGGTTTTAAAAATCACTTCTGACAAAGTTTCTGCATTGACTTCCTGATGCTGGGGCACTAGGCTGCCGCTTTGTCAAGGTTTTCTTCACTTTCTTAGAGAAGCTCAATGGACAAGACTGACATCCAATTCAGGGTTGGATTTGAAAGCCAAAATATTCATTTCCTTTTTGGGGAATGAGGAAGAAGGATGAAGGTCAGGGCTTGTGGAAGTAGAGCATGGTGGATTTTAAACGTGTCAAAGAATTGCTGCCTGATTATCATTTGTATCATCTGTAATATTAGTTTTCAATTAAACAGATGACCTATGTGTGAACTTTGAGTTATAAGGTGTAGTATTTTAACAGGTTATTTCACAGAAATTAATTGGGAATTATAGTATATCTTTATAATTGATCAATCAATAAACATTTGTCCAGCATCTGCTATGTTCCAGGCTCTGTGTTAAGTGCTAGGGATACAAAAAGAAGTAAAAGACAATCCCTGCCCTCAAGGAGCAGGCAGTCTAATGTGAGTACAAATAAAAACCTTTCGAAACCTAGGGAAGTCAAAATTTGGTTCAGTATTTTAAATTTCCTGGATTAAGAGGTAGAGAGGAGGCGGGAGGAAAATCATTAACACAGCCTGTGAGATATGCCATTAGTAACTTTGATCTCAAACAAATCAGATTGGCACAAGGTAATGGACTCAGGAGTCTACATTATCCTGATAAGAATACTGGCCTGGAAAATTTTCATGCACTTGACTGTATAGGCCCTACTTACTAGATCAGATAAGTGAAATGTGTTGCTGCCTTTGTGATGTCACCAGTGATAATACCAGCATGACAGAATGAATTCTTCTGAGTTAAAAATCAGGCAGCCATGAGGCAAATGTCCATGGGGCTATGAGGCTTATTTCTCTGAGGCAAGTACTTTAATTGAGAATTTGGTTAGTTAAATAGAATAGACTGGTATCCTTTTTTAGGAGTAGGTGGTTGGGAAGGGTCTGGGAAACTCGCAGTGCAGGTTTTCTCAAAGCAGGGTGGAATTCTGTAAAGTCTTAGTGGAGTGTGAGCTTCCCACAAGGCCTTCTTGTCAGACTAGTTTTGGGTAATAGGTTTGTGTTCAGTGATTGATGTTGGTACTTAGTAAACTCTGGCCATTCTTCCTGAATGTAGGGGTGGGGAGAGGGCGAACCTTTGGTAAGAAAAGAGTTGGTGAAGAAGAATGCTCCCTGGAGGCACATATAGGAGATGTCCTGTGATCTGTTTCTTCTTGGGAGTTTCTTCCAAAATACACAAAACACTATTTAAAAAGGAACAGAGAGAAAGTAGTTATGCTTTTGTCTGAGGGAGTTTTCCAGAGTGGGCAAGGGGAGGAGGTAAAATGCAATTTTAAGGAAATGCCACATTGTTATCCTTTTTAATATAAAATCCAAGAGATTCAAAAGTTATTTTCCCTCAGCAGTGTTTTTTGAATAACCATACTGTGCTTATGTAATGTGTGTGGCAGTTAAATTTTAAAAATTATATAATACTCAGTATGCAGAAGGGAAGACAGGTAAAACACTTGAGCACACTATAGATTCCCCAGAGTACTCCATGTATTAGATGGGGATGGGGAGGTGGGGAATATCTTATCACTGTTCAGGACCAAAAGTGTGAAATTATATATGTGCCATATATCTCTCATTAGCTCAGCTGTGAGATCCCTGGAAGGTGCAAAGCAGGTCTAAACTGAGTGGTGTACTGGTAAGAGACTTGAGGAACCGAGTTTGAATGCTGACTTTGCTGCTACTTGGGGCAAATTACTTCTCCGGGCCTCAGTTTTCTCATTTATAAAATGAGGAGTTTGAAGTAGGTAATTCTCTGAGGTACCTTCTTCTTCTAGACTGATGATTTTGTGATCTTTCCCTTAGGAAATATCTAAAGTGAACTCTGTAAGAAATGAGTGTACCAGTTGCCATCATTATAGAATCTATTATGGAGCTAGGAGTAACTAATCTCAATATTTCTAAGATCTGTTAGTACATTTAGTCACTGAATGTATGGTCTCCTGAGCAACAATAAGTACTTATTAAAAGTTTACAATATGCAAGACAGTGTTGAGGAGTGTAGGAGTGGGAGGGAGATAGAAAGGATAGTTGGCAAAAGTTTTGTCTGAGGGATTTTTCCCTTTCATTTATGTATTGTATAATTTTAATAGGATCATGGATTTAGAGCCAGAAGTTATCTTAGAGATCATCTAGTTCAACCCCCTTATTTTAAATATAAAGAAATTTAAGGCTGGAGAAGTAAAATGATTTGCCCAAGATGACACAGGCAGCAATTAGAGTATAGATAGATGGATTAGATATGTGTGTATATGTATGTATGTATGTACGTATGTGTATATGTATACATATTATACATACTCTCACATACACACATACATATATAAATACATATATTTTGCATATATTTAAATTACTGGGAAACAAACTAAAACCTCTGTAAATACAGTTATCTAGAAGTAGAAACATTTTTAGTTAGAAAAAGTGAAATTCATGAGCTTAAACTGAAAATATCCAAGGTAATTTTCAGAAAGATGTAATCAGGAAGAAATAAATTTCAATTAACTGGAAGATATTTCTTTAACATTATCATAATAGCCTTATTCCTCTTCTAAAACCAAGTAACCAATCAATGCTGGAATGGAAAGTCGTCTAGCTGACTATCAGAACTGCTGTTTTGTGATGTTTGTTACTCTTTGGGAGGATCAAGGAATTATTTCCTTAGCCTCCACCCCTTTCCTTTCTTGTTTGATCTTTGTTAGTCTTACTTTTGGGGGATGTAAGCATAGTGTGTGTGTGAATGCTGCAGGAATCAATGGGCCTTGACTGGGAAGTAAGAATTCTCAAGATAGCCATTGAATTTTGCTGAGAAGTTTGCCAGAGAGGAAGAAGCTGTAAGATCTTTGTTTAGTTAAGTGACAACAGAAACTTGCTAAGTCTCTTCTTGGAATGGAGTAAGCTGTGGAACAAATTCTAAAGGATAAGATGCCATTTTGTCAAAACCACTATGATTTACCTCTTCACCATCTTTAATAGTCCTGGGGCAGATAAACTGGATAAATCTGTATTTATTTATTTTGTTTAAATTAAAAGTTAGCCTCTATGATGGTTGAAGCTATTTTGAATTACAATTTACATCTGATTGTATTATTAGTCTCAACTTTTTCATTTTATATACATTTCCTCTACTGTGAATTAGTTTTTATATTTTTCACAGTAGCTTCTTACTTTTTGGATTTTCCTTATAAAAATTAACTTTATTTCTTCTTGTTTCTTTCTCTTTTAATAGATTAAGAAATGGCATTTCAACAAGCTATCAAAGGAACAGCTCTGGTTGGAGGAGGTGCACTTGCCACTGTGCTAGGCCTCTCTCAGTTTGCTCATTACAGAAGGAAGAAAGTAAGTAATTATACATTTGCTGATTAAAATATGAAACTTAAGACTGTTAAAGTACTGTATATAGGGAGTGTGCAAGCTAATGGGTTTATTTAGAAATTACTGTCAAGGACTTCTCAGTTTGATTTGGAAGCATTAATTTAGAGTACTGTATTAATGATGCTTCAGGTCTGTATGTGCTTTTATTTTTTTAAAGACATGAAAGTCAACATCCGAAATAATTTTACTATTGAGGTTTTGTTTGAGTTCTTTTGCTTTAAAAGATCTCCTTTTAGAAGTGCCAGGGATTTTTCTTTTAGGTATTGTCTAGCTCACACAAACATGCTTATCTTCCATGTACTTGCCCTTGTGAGAAGGGGGAAGGATGGGGGAAATTAAGAGTACTCAAAGGCCATATTTATAAGGCTGGCCCCTTTTCTTTCATGGAATATTATATTCCATGCCCTGCGGTCCCTTAATGTAGAAGCTGCTAAATCTTGTGCTATCTTGATTGTGTTTCCACAACACTTGAATTGTTTCTTTCTGACTGCTTGCAATATTTTCTCCTTGACCTGGGAACTTTGGAATTTGGCTACAATATTCCTAGGAGTTTTCCTTTGGGGATCTCGTTCAGGAGGTGATCGGTGAATTCCTTCCATTTCTATTTTGCCCTCTGGTTCTAAAATATCAGGGCAATTTTCCTTGATAATTTCTTTTTTTTAATTTTTAATTTTTTAATTTTTAACATGTGTTTTTAAAACTTTGGATTACAAATTTTTTCCCTTCCTCCCTCCCCACCCACCCTCATTGAAAAGGCAAGCATCTTGGTACAGGTTGTAGGTGTGTAGTCATGCAAAACACTTCCATAATAGTCCTGTTGTGAAAAACTAAGTATATTTTCCTTCATCCTATCCTACCCCCCGTTTATTCTATTCTCTCTTTTGACCCTGTCCCTCCTCAGAAGTGTTTGCTTTTGATTATCCCCTCCCCCAATCTGCCCTCCCCTCTATCAACCCCCTGCTCTCTTGTCCCCTTCCCCCCTTATGTTCCTATAGGGTAAGATAGATTTCCATACCCCATTGTGTATGTTATTCCTTCCTTAAGCCAAATCCTATGAGAATAAGATTCACTCATTCCCTCTCACCTTCCCCATTTGCCTCCATTGTAAAAGCCTTTTCTTGTCTGTTTCATGTGAGATATTTTACCTCATTCTACTTCTCCCTTTTTCCTTCTCCCAGTATAATCCTCTCTCACCCCTTAATTTTATTTTCCAGATATCACCCCTTCATCTTCAACTCACTCTGTGCCCTCTATCTATCTATCTATCTATCTATCTATCTATCTATCTATCTATCT